CCCCCCCATCACCCCTCTAGCGAGTTAATGAATGCGACAAGAATAGTATTGAGTATTAATACAGTATATGGAACCCTGGTTAAATAAGAGCGTGTGAACGCCACCCCTAAACAAGGCTGTCTGTGTGCAATTTATGCTCTCTCAGGGTAGCTAATCCTGAAAATGCAATTACACCGATTGTACTGGAATTCATGAATGTAAATATTATAATAAGATAAGAACTTATATAGCGCCTTTTAAAAAACCGAAGTAATTATCAGTGGCGCTTCATGTTATTTTTGGAATAAGTGCGTTTTGAGTGATTTTTTAAATAAAGCAATCGATATTGATAGTGTCAGTTATCAACATGCCACCACCATTCCTAACAAAGGTAAAATGGTTTATCCCAAAATATGAAAATACATATAAAGTTGAAACTGCTATAAACTACAAGAACACCAAATTACTTAATCATTGCTGGATCCAAAATCAACGAAACATTTCAAAACCGTGTTAACAAAAATCTGTTCAACATCTGAGCATGACATTACTGTCTGTCTTCTGTGATTGATCATATAGTAAACAGGTTCCTCACTTTGAGTGCAGGGGAAAACCTTTGCTATTCACAGTTTTACATGCTCATCTACAATACCTGTACCCCATACCGATGTCCCAGGCCTAGTGTTACCTATGTGTATATAGTAGTAACTTAAATACTGCCTGCTGTAGCCTATATTAACTCAGCTGGGTACACTAATCTACTTTATACTGTATGCACTCATATAGGTAGAACCCGTGCTCATCTAGCACACAGAGTAATACATGAGATTATAAAGGCATTTTATAAAATCACTACAATCCTTCATCCCAACTGTATGAAAATGCCTGATAAATAGGAAGGCAATACATTAGAATGAACTGTTTCTTATTCGCTATTACCCAAAACTTAACGTAATGAATATGTGATATAACTCCAGGCAAGAACAACCTCTTCTGTAAAGACTAACTTAATATTCCCTACGGTACTTCTTATTTCTTTATTATTGTAGTCCTTTAACTGACCCCCTTTAACGTCTGTAGTTCTTTTAACGCCTGTATTTCTTCCTTTTATATGTTGGGATTGTATCCTGTGTGTGTTGTACAGGTGTTTGGCATGCTGGGTTCAGGTCCTTTTAATTTACCCATGAATTGCATTTGGCTGGGAATGATAACCACTTCACTCTGTATTGCCATGCATCATTTTGAAATCTCTTGCACAGTATCTTTTCTACATCATAATACCCCACCGATTGTACGTGTTTCTCTTTCAACCCCTGTCTTTGTCGAGTATCATTACCCTTGTTGTGATCATGATCGTTGGGTCTGGTGTCGTCTGTGTGTAGTTGTGTTTTCTCTTGTGTATGTGAAGTCCCATTGTGTTGTGTGTTATCTCGTTCTGGTGTGGTCTGATTGGTGGCCTGTTGAGGACAATCTGGGGAGAATTCCTGACCAGGTTGTCGATATATGCTATGTTTGAGTCTGTTGATATGTATTTTATGTGGGAGAAGGGTTCCGTCATGTCTGTGTCGAAGGCGAACATGAACATCAGACAGTTTTTCAACAACATAGTATGGGCCCGTCCATGGCTTGGCCAATTTCTTCGTTTGACCTGGTGCCAAAACGGGAGTATGCAAATATACTATATCTCCAACATGGAACATATTATCTCGAATCTTCTCTGTTTCTTTTACATTGCCGTCTTGCGGCTGATCAATGTCAACTCTGCCTCTCGTCTAGTTGTTTCCATTATAGGAATTAGTTCAGCAACATACTGTTGTGCCGATTTAGGGACATCATGTAGCACAGGTAATTCATGATCGATGGGTGTGCGTAAATGTCTGCCATATACCAGAAAGGCCGGGGTATATGTGGTACTGTCCAAGCATGAACTGGTATTGTGAGCAAATTGGGTGAAGTGGAGGTATCGGTCCCACACATTGTGGACCCTATCTAATTGCTTTGAGAGAGATGCCAGAATAAAGGACATACACCGTTCTGTTTGCCCGTTACATTGCAGATGGTAAGATGTCGTTCGTGTCTTCTTTGTGTTCATAAGTTGACACGTAGCCTTCACTATGCTTGAAAGAAAATTGGCTCCCCTATCTGAGTGCAGAAATTGGGGGGCACCATGGCGACAAACAATATCTCGCAAAAAGGCCTTGGCAATTGCATCCGCCTTGATATCCACAACTTGGACCAGTTCAACATAATCCATGGGCTAGCAATGGGGAAGAGGTGAGGGCAAGTTTAAGGCTTTGAAAAGCTGCTTCACATTCTGATGACCAATTGAATTTCACTCCTTTCTTTGTAAGAGCATATAAGGGAGCTGATATACCTGAGTATGATTTCACGAACTTCTGGTAATAGCCGGATAAGCCCAAAAAGCTCGTCCTTTAATGAACCTGGCCTTGGGTATTCCACTATAGCCCTAACTTTCTCTGGGTTGGGGGATATCCCCTGAGAAGATAACGTATTTTGTGAAGCGCAAACTGATACTTCTGTGGCCGAACTTTTAACCCTGCCTGTCGGAGACGACTAAACACTTCCTCTAAGTTTTTCAAATGGGTAGCAAAATCATGGGAAAAACACAAATATCATTCATGTATACTAGGCAGTATTTCCAC